GTGTTCGATACCGAGCCCGCCCCAGATGTCAGTTTCGTGCTTGCTTTCGCGGGTTGCTTGCCCTTGGACGGTGTCGGCGGGGCAGGTGCCTCGACGGCTTGTTCGGGCGGGTCGGTATTGTACGGGGGCTTGGGCACGTTATCCGGCTTGAGCATCTGGATCTGGAGTGCAATCATCTCCAGGAGCTGCTTCTCTGCACGGCGTGTCGAGGTCAAGGACGAGTACAACGGAAGAAACGACCACTTGTGAGGGCAGGGGACGTACTAGTCTTGATTGCGGGGTTCACGAGCCGGCCGTCCTTCTTCCACTGGACGCGCACCCGGCCGGGGTTCTCCCAGTCGCGCGGGTGCGACTTGTTCACCTCGTGCAGCGTGCCCAGCCCGAGTCGGTTCGTCGCGTCCGCAATGTCCTTGCTGAGCGGCCACCAGACGCTCTTCGCGCGCGGAATCCGCCGCTCGCCCCGCCCGCACGGCCGTTTAGCGTCGATGTAGATTGGGTAGATGCACGTCCACCTGGACGGCACAGCCCCGTCAGCCCGTCATTTTTCTCTTTGCCTCGCGGGTCGTCGCGGCCGCTATGGGATGCTAAGAGGGGAGGGAAGAACACACCGCTTGTAAGGGGTGATGTCCGTGACCGTGTTCTGCGCATCCCCGCCTGCGCTCGGCCTGAACTGTGCTAGGGAGGGGGAGGCGGGCCCTGCGGTGGGTTGCCTCATGCTGGGCGCGTCATCGTCCGAGTCGCCTTCGTCGGTGTCGCTGGCGTCGATCTCCTGGAGGATCGCGCCCCGCGCGCCTGTGTTGGGCAGGGGCTTGTTCGGGAGCGGGAGGTCGGTATCGTCGTCGAACTCCTCGACTACTGCCGCTCGTCGGGGCATGGTGTCCCTGTCACGTTCTCGGTATGCAAGGAGGTGCCTGAGTCAAGCAAGATGTAGAGCGAGCAGGATGTGTACGAGAGGCTGATGGAGGTCGTGCGCCAAGCAGTGACTTGCGGTGGGTAGGTCCACAGGCGCGCAGACGACGGACACAGACGCTCGCGGGACCTTGATTCTGAACCTTCTCACCACTCGGAGGTTCGCTGGATGCGCGTTATATAACGCTCGCATCTGCGAGCCCCAGAGCCGCATTGATGGTCATAATCAGCATCTGACTTCCATGCATTCACCCTGTCGACGAATCTGAGATCGTTCGACGGCGTTACACCGTTCGAAATTGACATAAAACGCGTGGTCAGCCTCTCGGTGACGGACTCACTTTTTCTCTCCCCTTACTCTGTTCCCGGTGCTGACATCGAAGTGTCCGCCATGTCCGAGCTGGTTATACGCGAGGTGAGCTTTATGGCATGCGGCAGCCGAACCTGCCTCTAACCGATGTCCTAGGTTGCACCCGATTTGTGGACGTTCTCCAGGTCGACCGCTCATGACGTATAATCCTGCGACGAAGTACTTATATTGGAGATATCCGTAGACCCTTTACCCTTCTCGGACTATTTCCAGTCGGAGGGCGCTCTACCGCCATCAAGTTGACCACAGGGGACGTCTGGATATTAGCGTCCACACCACTCACAGACGAAACCAAGGAGAAGCTAGCCGAGCTGGGTCAAGTTAAGTAAGCCATCAAAGACCTTGGGATGCCACGCGCTCGAGTACCTTGCACCTTTGAAGTTGCTCTGACGCCTATTTGCAGGTACATCGTGGCTGGCAACAGTTTCCACCATCTATTCCTCAGTACGTGCCGTGACGCGTGGAGCCTGGAAAGCGGCACCAGAGACTGACCATTGTAGAGCAATACAAGGATGCGTATCCTGCTGCGAAGGCGATTGGCCCGGAAGACCTCAATGCTAAAAAGGCGGCTGAAGGTTGGCAACTTGACGCTGGTCAGTATCCCCTATATGCAGATAGTCGACCTCGCTGATGGTGGGGAATCCGAGCAGTTTTCAGTGCAAAGTCGCCTGATACGGTGTTCGGGTTCGAGGACGAGGTAGGCGCAAAACATTCAGCGCTGCACCGTACATTAACTAACGGGTCGATGCCCCCCAAAGGTCGAGCACTGGTTAGCATCCTCTCCCACAGCGAAGACATAGGGTTGTGACTGACAATCCGCACCTTCAGCTACTTTTCCGGTTTCGGGAACAAGGACATCGCCTTCTACCACAAGGCATCGAAGACAGTCATCGCCGCCGATCTGCTCATGAACAATCCCCCTAGAGAGCAGGTAAGACGCTCGGTAGCCCGTACACTCACCCGCAGTTTGATAATCCCTGGCCTATGATCACAGTACTCGAAGTCTACCAAATCTCCCAAGTCGAGGCTGCTGGCGGCGATGTCGCCTTCAGGGTGGCAACTCCGGTGGTTCATTTGGATGAAGGAGAAGGATAAAGCGTGAGTTGGTTCGTGTGTGTCGTTTCCCTGACGAGGACCGACCCTCCACCCTCAGTGCGATGATCCGCGACGCGAAGAAAGTATACTCATGGGACTTCGTCCGCTATATCCCTTGCCACGGGGTTAGTCTGGTCTTTGGTTCGATCCGCTTATACCGCTCACTAGTTACTCACAATGCCCAAATCGCAGGATGTTATCGAGACCAACGCGAAGGAGGCATGGAAGGCTGCCTGGGGCGCATACTTATCATGAACAAATCCCTCGTCGTGGTGTTGGCGGGTGTGCCCTTTGGACGCCTCCTATGGATATACTCCATTGGACACGATACCTCTCGCACTGGGTTCCCACGAGGACCTTGTGGTTCGCGTGCCCAGATGTCATAATGCCGTTACTCGTACAGATACATCGTGCGTCTCATAATGCTGTTCACTTCTGCAGCGGAGGGGTGTCGGCGAAGAGCACAGCAAGCAGACGCGCAGGGTACCGCGGACCCTTCGCCGCGTCAGCCTCGTTTGCGATACGCCGGACCTCCTGAACATCCTCGGGTGAGAGCTTAACCTTCAGCGCGTCCAGGTTCTCCTTCAAGTTCTGCACGGCCTTTCGTCAGCACACTTCCCTGACTTGCTATCGTCGGCACACTGCCACTCACCGGAAGCTTCGTGGTCCCGGGAATGGGAATGACGTCTTCGCCCTGTGCGAGGAGCCACGCAAGCGCGACCTGGCCTGCGGTCGCATTGTACTTGTTGCCGATCTTCTGCAGTCCGTCGGCGATCTTGAGGATGTTGGGGAAGTTCTCCTTCGAGTAGCGCGGCACCTGCCGGCGGAAGTCGTCCTCCTCGAAGTCCTCTGGGCCTTTCTGTATGCAATGTCGGATATTAGCCACGCGTGCTTTGTGCTCTGGGATAGCGACGGAGCGACTCACATATCTCCCGGTAATGAGGCCACGGCCAAGGGGCGAATAGGCGACGATCGTAACTCCGAGCTCACGCGCGGCCTTGAGGAGTCCGACCTTGGGGTCCTCGATGTCCAGGGTGAACGGCGAGTATTCGACCTGAAGCGCGGAGATAGGGTGTACGGCGTGTGCGCGACGCAGAGTCTGCTCGGAAACCTCGGACAAGCCGATGTACTTCACTTTACCGGCCCTTCAGGTTGTCAGATGTGAGTAACGGATTCGGCTCCACGCATACATGGATCCGGCAGCTTACTTGACTTGCTCTGCCATAGCGCCGACGGTCAACTGTGATATTACGCGAACTCAACAAGGATGAGATGCTTCGGGCTAGGTCGACGTTACCTCAATCGGGACCTGTGGATCGGCTCTGCGGAGGGGGATCAGTATCACCACCCACACAAATCTTCCTCTGGATAACTAACCTGTGTAGATACCACAGCTCGACATGGTCTGTGCCAAGTCTCTTCAGCGAGGCGTCGAGGGCCTGCGCCGCATACTCGGGCGTGCCATTGATCGCCCTGTCCGGGTCGGTGACGATACCGAATTTCGTTGCAAGGAAGATCTCGTCGCGTTTTCCAGTGCGCTTGAACCTGGGCAAGATATCACCGCTGAGCTATTGAACGTCATGTAGAAGGGGGACCGGTACGTACCACCTCCCGATGAGTTCCTCGCTATCGAGGTACCTATCGGCGGTGTCCCAGAAGGTACAACCTTGCTCGTATACAGCGTCAAGAACCTGGACGGCGACGGTACGTCAGCATTTGTAGGATATGTACGGTCTTCGTAGCACCTAGTACCAACCTTGAAGCGTTCTTCATCCGGCAGGGGCTTCCCATAGAACGCAGCGATACCCATCGCGCCATAGCCGATGGCGGTCACATCGGAGTCTCCGATCTTGCGTGTAGGAAGAGGCATGTTTGAAGAACGGTGGGTGGTCGAGTAGTAGAAGAGTCGGTGAGCAGTGGAGCGAGTTGTGCTTCTGGAGCCCCTCCTTATATATGTCACAAGGAAAGCTCTCATGACATAGACAGGTGCGTCTCTCGTTGCTTATAAATGGCGAGCAGCGTCATATTTCTCGTATGTGTCTTCGCGAAGCCTGTATTTGTCGCGAGAAGCAGGAGCCCTCGACCAGAAAGGAGATAGCTCATAGCACATGGGGCTCGTGCTCTCGCTCTATTTCGGACTTGTGGACATAGCGCGCCACAACTGCCATATAGGAAGCTGCTGGAAAAGAGCAAGTCGGAATATTTCCGCTCATAGCACATACTATCTCCAACCTTTCCGACTATTCGCTAGCGCTTCTCATTTGACCTGAGGTACTCCATGTCAAGTTGTCGATGATCATAGTTAGCGCTGATTGCTCTCGCTCACACAATGCTCGTCGGCATGCTGCTTGGCTCCGTTCTCTCAATATCTCCGCCGTGAAGAGGTATCACCGGTCGTTAGAATTGGTCAACTGACCGTGGCACGTCTTCCCAGCTTGCCCGACCAGCCCCGGGATGCCGCGTTATTCATGAATCATGCCTACCAGCGTCCACCTCAAGGAGGTGTATCTGTCAACAGTCCCTCGCACTTCGCGTCGGCCTTCTCGGAAGAAGCAGTAGGTGGTTCCTGGCTTCCGGCCTAATGTAAAACGGAGGCCGAACATGGGCGAACAAGAGAAAAAGGTTGCTGCCCCGGTGAGGCTCGAACTCACGACCTTCCGATTGCGACTTAGATAACAGTCGGACGCTGTAACCAACTCAGCCACGGGGCAGTTGTTAGGAGGCCATGTGTATATGGTATGTCGGCAACGCCAATCCACCTCGGGAGAACGCGGGACACGTGCTCGCTTGCGGCCTCGGCGCTGTCGGGAGAGGAGGTCGTCGGTCGTGTCCTGCGTCGTCCAGTCCAGCTTTCTCGTCTTGCACGCCCGGTCGCGTTCACCATGCAGCCCTCTCTCATCCGTCGTCAGCTTGGTGGCCTCGTCCCCCCGAAAATTGCCACCCCCTCTGTCCTGGTGCGTCTCCTGTCCGCACACCCCCCGACCGTCCGCCAGCGCGAGGGTTTTCGCTGACGGGCCGTGCATTCGTACCACAGTCCTCTGGCCAGGGTGCTGGCCTCGGCCCCCTCGTGAACTTCTACTCCAAGCTCCCCAAGGGTCCCGCACCCACGACGGCGGCGGGCGGCATCAAGGCACGCTACTTCAACGGCAAGAACGCGTCCGCTGCGCCCCTGCTGTTCACCATCCTCGGCATCTTCGGTCTTGGTTACACCATTGACTACCAGAGTGCGTATCTCCGATTATTGGATTGTATTCGGTCGTTGACCATCGTCGTTACTTTTGAATCCACCTCGTCCGTAATTTTGAACCATAGTGCACCTCAGTAAGTCCCACTCAAAACGCGTCATATGTGTGCGTGCCTCTCACCGTGCCTTTCGCAGAGCACCACAAGAACCACGCTCACTAAACGTGTGTTTTGGACGGGATTCGAGGAGCGATAGAGATGGCAGTACTGTAAATGGACCAATCAATGGTATCTTTCCATATTGTCGTCCATACTCGGCCGCTACCATCGTCTTCGCAAGAAGCCCTTCGTCATCGCTCTGCCTTGGTGGGCTGCTCTCCAGGGACTAAGAGCCACCATATCTGGCTTACATGCTAGTACATCGGTGGCACTGGCTGGTGCACAGCAGAATACTTATTTCTGTGCTTCTCACAATGCAGACCTCCTCACTTATCCTCGTTTATTAGCTGCATCTATGATCTCAGCCATCAAACGCTCTGTGGAGCGTCCGACGTCCGTCCAGAATTGATCAGCCCTACTAGAGGTGTCTAGCAACGGGCGAAACGCCCTGGGCGCGGTTTGCGGGGCCGTCTAATTAATGCAAGATTCGTTGTGCGTTCGCCCTCCACTGGACGCTGCCTGCTATGCACGTATTCGCAATGATAGATTCCACTCCACCCAGGTTCAGATAGGCGCGGTGCGAAACACCTCTACGGAACCTGAATCGTTACAGAGAGTCACCCGCTGTAACCAGGGGAAACGGGGCCTGTTTGCTTACTGCGCACGTCTATTTGCTTCTAGCAGTTACTAGCACACCGTCAAACTCCGTGCGCGGGTTTGGAACAATGCGCAGCGTGATTCTTCCATCTACCGGCTCCACCAGCTCCAAGTGCGATGCTACTGCACGACAACGGGGGGACAACCGCCTTGCATGCGATGCCCGGCCTCCTCTGCTCTGGATCGCCCCTGCTAACAGCGGGCACCCGTATGCACCCCGCAAACGTGCCTTTGTCGCTGGCCGGCGCTGCGCAGCAGCAGGCCTCGTTTGGCGAGGGTGGTGCACTGTGCGTCGAAGGTATATAAACCCGTCCGCTGCGGGAGGTTGGCCCCCATCGCCTTTGGTCGAACACTTGAGCCCGGTGCTCATATCCCTGCCCCCAGACTCTCCCAACCGTCACTTCATCCCGCATCGTTCGTGGTTCATCCCTTCGCGCCTCATCTCTCGCGACTCCCTCACTCGTTCTTCGACGCACACACTCCCGCGTACACGACCTTCTTGAACGCATCCTCGACTCACCTCCTTTCGTATCCTTCTATCATCCAACATGTTCTCGACGAAGTTCGTTGCGCTCGTCTTCCTCTCCCTCACGGCTTCTGCATACGCCGCTCCGGCGAACCTCCAGAAGCAGAACGCGCTCGACGCGCAGAAGCAGAACGCCCAATTCGCCTCGCTCACCGAGAGCTCCTCCTGCCAAGGTCCGTCCCCCTCTCTCTGACATAACCACATGTTGCTGACACCGCATTGCATTCGCTTTGAACAGATGGCGAACAGGCGTGTGTGCAGGACGCGTTCGCGCAGTGCGTCGGCGGCAAGTTCCAGCTGCAGAAGTGCTCCGGCGGCACGTCCTGCGTCGCCCTCCCGCTCGTCAATAAGCCCGGCACGTCCGTCACCTGCGACACCAAGGAGGACGCCGAGGCGCGCATGAAGGCCGCTGGCGTCGCCGGCGGCCTCACCGGCTCGGACAGCGGCAGCGGCTCTTCGGGCAGCAGCAGCGGCTCAAGCTCTGGCTCTGGCGATGAGTCAGGCTCCGGTTCAGGCAGCGGTTCAAGCTCTGGCTCCGGTAGCAGCAGCGGCAGCGAGTCTGGCAGCGGTTCGAGCTCCGGCTCGAGCAGCAGCTCTGGTTCCGGTTCGGGCTCTGGCAGCAAGGGCGGCAAAGGCGGCAAGGGTGGCAAGGGCAGCAGCTCTGCGCTCTCCTCCGCCGCTGCGACCGCTACGGCCACCGACGGTGGTGCCGACTCGACTGCAACTGCGACTGCCTCCGATAGCGGCGCGGACTCTACCGCAACTGCTACAGACGGCAGCGCGGATTCGACCGCTACTGCGACCGCCACCGATGGCGGCGCCGACTCGACTGCTACTGCGACCGAGAGTGGCAGCGACAGCGGCGCAAGCGAGACCATCGTCTCCTCTTCTGCGGCGGCGACCGCGACGGGCTCCGCGGGCTCCTCCAGCTCTGGCTCCAACTCAGGCTCGTGCGGTGCTGGTGCGGGCGAGAGCAGCTCTGCTGCCTCCGCCAGTGGCAGCGCCGCCGACACTGCGACGGCGACGGCCACCGGCGTCGGTGCTTCGGAAACCGACTCCAGCGTCGCAACCGCAACTGGTTCCGCCGCTGCGACCGAAACCGACTCCAGTGCCGCTACCGCTACCGACTCTAGCGCTGCGACTGCCACCGACTCTAGTGCTGCGACTGCCACCGATTCCAGCGCTGCGACTGCGACGGCCACCGACTCCAGCGCCGCCACCGCGACTGCTAGCGAGGGCGGATCCGCGAGCGAGTCTGCCGCTCTTTCCTCGGCCGCCGCGTCGTCTCTGTTCGGCTCGGCAGCGGCGACGAGCAGCGCAGCCGCCGCCACTGGCTCCTCTGCGGCAGGTGCCTCCTCGAAGTCCAGTGCGGCGGCGACTGCCTCTGAGCCCGTCATCAGCCTGCTTTGAGCGGCCTGCCTGCCCGGAACTCCGGAGGGTGGATGAGCAATAGGAGGGTGTGTTGATTCACGCGGACTGGACGATGCCGGAGTCGCGCAGCTATTGCTCGGACATTACTTTCGCCTCCCTCGCACCCCTACGATACTCGACCTTCCCGCTGCACGCATTGGGTGGTCGTACCTCGCCGCACGGTGTGCGCGCGACGGCCCCGCAGGACGGCGCAGAAGTAGTCTTCTGTAGATCCTTGCATGTTCTGTTTGTAGCAGTAGCTCGCTTTGAATGAACACACGAACGCCGCGCGTGGTGGTTGTGGACCAAAATGTATTGACGTGATCTACTTCATGATCGTCGCCCTCGATGCGTCCCACACCGTCCGTACTGCTGCGCGGGACGAGGGGGACGGCGGGGACGCTGCGGGGGAGGCTCGCGGGATGCCCATGGGGAAGACGCTGGAAGCTGGAGGTGGGCAAGCAGAACGGTTGAGCCGGGCGAAGCGCTGGCGGGGTGCCTGGCACAATGCCGACATCGACGATCTCGCTCACGCCCTCCTCGCTCTTCCCCTCTGCTTTCTCTTCGTCTTCACCGTCGGGCCCGCCGTCGCCGCCCCAGCCAGCCCTCTGCGTGCGTGCGTGCTCAGGGCGCAGCCTCACTTTGCCCCATCTGCTCTACTTGGTTCGCCTTCAGCTTCTCCAGTGCGCCGGGCGCTGCGCAGTCCATTCTGCCGCTATATACCTCTCCGAGCCTTCGCCGGCATCCCCATCTCTCGTTGCTGACACTCACGACCATCCACGGCGATGGCCAAACACAAGAAACCGACCCCGCAGGAGCTCTACTGGGAGCGCAAGCGGCGCGAGGAGGAGGAGAAGGATGCGAGCCTCCCGCCTGGCCTCATAAACCACGGCAACACTTGCTTCATGAACTCCACCCTCCAAGGCGTACGTGTCTTTCGTCCCTGCTGGTTGCAGAACTAATCCTAACCGATCACCGACGTCGCTGTGGTTAGCTCATTGCCACGCAGCCTCTCCGAGACCTCGTTTTCTTCCAGCCCGTAGCTCCGGCACTTCAACCCGCCGAGGGCTCGCCTATCCTCGCCAAGCGATCGCCTCAACTCACGAACGGCCATGGGTTGGGCGGGTCGGATGAGCTGGACTGGACGGAAGGTATGCCTCTGGGGGATATCTTCACCACTGTCATGAGGAAGGCCTGGGGCATTCAGGACGCGAAGCGGAGGGAGACCATGAGTCCAAAGTCAGTACCTCCGATTGTGCATCATCCCTCCCCTCGGGTGCTGACCGCACTTGCAGAGAGATCTTGACGACCATCGGACGCAAGTATGACCAATACCTCGACTTCCGCCAGCAGGACGCACACGAGTTCCTGCGACACATGCTCGACGCTATGCGCATGGAGGAGCTCGATGTGCGTGTTATCTCCCTGGCTATACACAGGCACGGACTGACTTGCGCTATTGAGCAGATCATCAAGAAGCGGCAGCCACCCCCTCCGAAACACAAGCGCACGCGTCATAACAAAGATGCCAACCGTTCCCTGCCGTCACCGGTGCTTCCATCGCCTGCACCACCCATCGCCAGCTCGTCGTCTCAGTCGTCCCAAACGGACGGACAGTCCTCCCATTCCGGGCATGATGCGCCGCCACCTCCGCTCCCCGCGTCTGATCCGCCTGCGGAGGAGAAGCTCGAGTCGTTCGTAGACATGCTCTTCGGCGGGCAGCTCGCGAGCATCCTCGTCTGCGAAAAGTGCAAGAAGGTCTCGGTCACGTACGAG